AAGGGTAAATAGATAATTTCACAATTATAATTTATTACACACAAGTCCCTGGAAACTTAGGAATCATCTCGGGATTTCTAAATACTTTTTTTAAATTAATTGTCTTTTATGGGATCTGAGTGTAATTTTTCCTTTCAATTATGTTTGTGGGTTGCGGCCCAACTTCAGATCTGGTGGGGTCATATCTCAGCCCATTAACAACCTAAAAGCTCATTATTTTATGGACTTGTTCTGCTTGGCCCATTGCTCCACACGTCCATTAATTTCCCGAGGAATGCAAAACCCAACATTCTGTTTCTAATTTGAATTGTCAGCACTCCACTCAACACATACATTTATGTCCACGATGTTTCATAATCATTTATTCATTCATCTGCTAAGCACATGAGTTCGCTTCCTTCCTTCCCCAGTGCTCATTTCTTAGAAGCAGGCCATATTTTCTTCCACATCTGCATCGTGCTCCATTCAACCGAACAACAAACAGGTCTATATGCAGAAAAAGGGCCCCCACCAGATCCAAAGAGTAATTAATTAACTAATTATGTTTTGGCATAGCTTTGTTTTGTTTTTTTTTTGGCCAACGTATTGGCAGAGTCATTGAGGAGGGCCTGTGAACTGTGATTGATGTGTTAGGTACTACTGCGGTAACATCACAGCTGCAGAAGCACTCGTGAGTCATGATTTTTGCGTATTATAGCCAAACTTCAAATTTGATCCGTTCTTGACTTGTCCGTCTCCAAGTTCTCCTGTTCAAAGTTGTTCAGTTTGGCGCCAATTTGTGAATGATTTCCTTCTCCTTTGGCCGAAAGCCCTACCGACGCTCACAGCGTCTGCTCTTGTCCCTTTCCTCCCATTCCCTTCCGATATGTCATCATCACTCCCCTCCGCACACAATTAGCACATTCCTCTTTTCAATCTCAACCTCTCTGGGTTACCCCCCCAGTTTTTACCAAATCTCTGTAATTCTTTGGGTGTCAATTCTATTCTACAGAAAATGGCGAAACAAAAATCAAAGCATATAAGGATCACGGGGGATGAAGAATGGACCACATGTCCGAGAGCGGCGGTTGCCCAATCACTTCATAACCTGTTCCCAAAATTCCAAATATTCATTCAGAATGCCAGCAAAGGCTGGTCTACCTCCCCAGAGTCTGAGAAGCAGAAACAGCCCCTAGGTTTGGCATTACTTGGGTCCTTGGATGGTGACTCCACCAGCCCAAGCCCACAGGCCCATTGAATGGACACCCTCTCTCTCTCCCCTTCCCTCCCTCTCAGTCTCTCTACTCTTAGATATTGCATGTGATCAACAGGTGTGAACATCCCCTGCGTCTGGGGACTGGGGGGCAGATTAAATTTCACATTTGGATTCTACCATGCTCTCTCTGCTTCCTTCATTATGACTTTCACGCTGGGAATGTGTATCCCCTGTCCCTTACTCTTTAATTCTCTTCCCAATCACTTTGTAATCTCTGTATTCAGGTCCCACTCCCAGTTTCACCATACTCCCTAGCTTCCTCAAATTACACCATTTTCCTTTCCAATCTGTTCTTTAATCATATCTTCAAATCCAATCATGCCCGTACTTGTAATTGTGCGAACTAGGAAATACGTTTAACACGCACGTACCTTAACTGGATGTTATCGTGTGTGAATTGTGAGTGTAGATCACGGCATGGCCCGCCAGTGCCTGTGACCTCCCTCCAGTTTTCTGTGGGCCCCCTCCCCCCGGGTTGTCCTTTCTTCTTCTAGAGACCCAGAACTGATAAAATATGAAGAAGGAGAAAAACAAAGGGGCTCAGTACTAGTGTCACATTCTGACCTGATAATATCAATGGGGATGGCACATGGATCGTATAAAGTAGTTGAAAAGTCTTTGTTCGCGCTGTGATTTCCTCCCATCACCCGTAGAGGTTAATGACGATGGACCAGAACTTTTTGGGGAATGCTAATTGGCAAAGCAAATGAAAGTGTGTAGAAACCGTATTTATTTAATCAGAGGGATTTTGTGTGCAAAATTAGCGAGTAAGCGAAGCTGGCATGTGCTTTGGTTTTAATTCCGTCCCTGCACTGACCATAATAATGGTCCCCTGATGCGTCTAACACGCATAGCAGTACTTGAGCCATCCTGCCATTTCTTTATGTCTTTTTGGGCTTTGCCATCTACCTTTTGCACTTCTCCGAATCTTAATTGAATTTATCGGGGACCAAACTGTAGTGTTTATCTAATGTGGAAAGAATGGCCCGGTTGAAATAAAAACCAGGGAAACAGATAAAGAATTCCAAAAGGCAGAAGGAACAGGAGAGAATCCCCTAAAGAGAGCGAGTAACAATCATACTGTAAATTGTACCAGTCTTTACGGCTTTAGTGGAGTGAAAAGACGGGAATACAAAAAAGTTAAAGAACCAGAGATGGTAGGGGACTCCAAATCCCCTCCTCATATTCGTAATTCATTCACCATTGTATAATTCATCCTCTGAAAGACTGGAGAGAAGAAAATAAAACAAAAAATCGAGGGTAAAATGAATGTCTTTTTCACCATCCACCTTTGCAGTCTCTCTGCAGGGTAATTCACTGTGCATGTTAGGTGGGCAGTACCATATTCGAAATCACGTGGTAATTTTAGTGAAATCAAACAAGCATGCGGGTTTAGTTGGTAAGTGGAGGGAAGTGAATGGTGATTAAGGAAGATAACATGGGGATGGCACATGGTGGAATGAGAATTAAGGATGGGAGGGAAGGAGTTTAAAAAAAGCAGGCAGAATGGGGGCGTAGTTCAGTGCTAGCGAGGAATAGCACCGAATGCGATTCTCTCAAAGACTGGTGCGAAGACTTTATCGAGGGGCGAGTCAAAAGGATCAAAATAATGAGATGTGTTCACAAAAGAAACAAAGGGAAGACGAAGGAGGGAAGTGCCCCCAATCAAGTGGGGTTTCTCCTTGGGAGCAATACTGTCATTTGTCTTATGTGCCCTTTTTCTTTTTGAGTTGAAATAGTCTTCCTCCATTTTCCACCTAAAAGCACACAAACAACAAAGACATCTCAAACCAAATCAATACATTTTGTTCCCAAGTTTCAACATTCCTCCCCCTTTCTGCCCCTGCCCCATCTGTGATCCTGCATCTGATTGCATCCAAAATCTCTGTTCCATTATCTAATCTAAACCTAATATGATCCTTTCTTTTTTGTATATTCCTGTGCTTCCCTCTTGGGTTGCTCTCCTTCTAATCTGCCACTTGAGTGTGATTTTCAGAGGAATCACCGTGCTATAGATTCCGATGTGCCCATACGAGATTTCAAAGGGGTTGCTGCATGTGAGTGAAATTTGCTGCCTTGCCGTAAGATTTGCACCAAATCCCACAACTCCTATATCTGTACTATGTACATAGGTGTATCATTATCATATCAACATGGTCAAACGTCCACCCCAAACTACCCATCTTTTTACTATTAAATTAATATACAAACTCCGACATTCACGGGGCATCATTTTTAAAACATTACTCGCATTTTATCTTATTTATAAATCATTTTTTTATATTTTGCATAGACAAAAAAAATCTTAAATTTTATTAAATTTTATTTAAAATTTAATAACTTTTTAACTTTATTTTTATTTAATATACATTATATCTCATGTAAACAAAATTAACACAATAATAAATGAGAGATAAAATTATACATCCATACAAAAAATCTCTTAATACCCTATAAATAAAACTAAAAAATATCTTCTCCCTGTCTTATAAATAGGATCAAAAGAATACTTTGCACGTCATGAGGTTCTTGTATAATTTTGATTTCTCAAGTTTTTTATTTCTAAAAAAAATTCGGCCATTTAAGGCGTTGCTGTTTGCTTGTTTTTCAAATCCTCACACTTTTCTTAGACGAATAAACAATAACGTATGTCAAACATGACATTAAATTCTGGATGAATAATTTTTGACAACTGAGCTTCCATGTCAAGGACATATCCACCCATCTCTATCTTTCTCAATTCTTGACTCGTTAAAAGCAAAAAAAAAAAAAAAAACAAAAGATCAACGCACTCACCATTTCTCTTTCCTCTTTTGTTTTGTTATGAGAACAGAATTAGTCTCATGGATTCCTGCACTTAGCTTATTAAAAATATAAGGATTATATTTATTAAAATAAAGGAGAACAGAAAAGAGTGAGAGTCTATTCTCCTCTCACCTGCTCCTTTTCCCCGTGCAACTTTCAATTAAATACGACGAGACTCAATGCAACGCATTTAGATCCAAAATCAGAAGTACTCAACTAGAATTTTTCTTGAACGATTTCGTCGGTTTAATTTCGTTGCTGAACCAGCAAGATCACCAAATACATAAAGACAAAGGTCTTCCTTGGTTTATGCAAAAACAAAAAGACACAAGGAAAAGAACATATTTCTCTTTTAATTTTTAATAAAAAAATGAAAACAAAGGGAGAAATAAAGAGAGAAAGCAGGGGATCAAATATCAGTCCAGCAACCAGCTGGAGGGATCATAGCAAGCGCTTTTTTTTTTTTTTTTAAAAAAAATAATGTCTATGGCAATCTAAACACATGGAGGGTGTGAAGGTATTAAATGCAAAGTTGAATTAATTACCCCTGGAGCACCGAATAATAGTAACACCGCATCAAACAAAAGCGACTCCGAACTGAACACTCTCAACGAGGTCAACACCCCAATAATGGCCATAAAATCTGTATTTGAATAGCCTCCAGTGGCCGACATGTTTTTTCCCCCTCCCATGAATCTCCACTACCAACTCCCTCCCCTCCCCCCACATTTCGATAATTGATTCCCCCAAGCACATCTACTTGCTTCACTACCTTCAACCTCAACCATTTCAGTTTCAGCCAAAAATTATACGGGGATCGTCATCTGAGCTTTACTATATGACTTGGAGCCTAGTTAAAATTAAAATTTATCAATGAGATGACAAGTTGCACAAATTAATTTGAGAGCATGCACATATGTTGCTTCATTTCAAGCAGCTATAAGAAAGAAATACTCATGAATTACTTCATTACTATGATCATCTTCTTTAATTACTTCCGGATAAAATGCCAACGATCTCTGCTCGACCGCTTCCAGTCATTTACAACAATCTCAGATTTCATGGAACGTCTATTTAATGACTTGCGACTTGCGGATTGGAGCCGGGCAAGTACTTTTACGCAGAGACGGTTGGCAATTTAACTTGGCATACAAAAATAAGCGGGGAAGAGGGAAAAAAAACAATGGGGATAGATTAGTATTATTGAACATACAGAGACCATCCTTAAGATTAGATGCGGGGAGCGGGGGGAATACTGAGGAATTCTGAATTAGGATGGTTTAGAAGAAGCTGATCTTGAGTCCTGGCCTTCTTGGAGAGAGGCTCCGGCGACGACGAAACAGACGCAGCTACGGCCCACGAATCGTTGGAGCTGTCGCAGCTGAACGACGCATCCATCACGCCGTTTGGACTTCCGGGAAGGGAACCAAACGCACGCTTGTTGGATTGCTTCACCTGGAATTCTGTCGTGAATTCCATTATGAGCTCGTGGCACTCCTCCACCTTGTCCTGTTATATATTCAAATATTAGCCATTAATACACCATCCACACTCAAACTATAATGTTCAGAACTTCAGACTGTCCAAAAGCAAAGAGGATATTTTACCTTGTCGATTCCGAGAATACCCAGCAGCTGGTTTCTGTACTCCATTCCCAGGCCGGCTTCCACGCCATTCACTACGTGCATCATAGTCGCAGTCGCCACCACAGAAGGAAGATAACGCATAAACCTCATATCTGCAATTCACACATCACATGTCAAAACCTGAAAGATGCATCATTGTTGAGTCGTCCAGGTCGATCAGTTAACTGAGCGTTGCGAAATTACCTGTAATGACTGACAGAATAATGCCTTGGCACCTCCTGAGGAACTCCCAGCAGAGATAATCCCTTAGGCCCAGTCTCCGAGTGATGTAATCAAGAAACGATAGTGGTGTCACCGGATTCATCTTCCACTCAAGAGTGGAAAGCACCAAAATCTCCATCCTTTTTATGGTTTTGGCTTCGAACAGGTATCTGCTGTCCTCCACCTACACAATTGAGTGAAAATTAAAAAAAAAAAACATCAAAATGTCCATCCCGATGAAGGAACGAAGGGACAGAGAGTGGAAGTAGTACACACCTGAAGGTCGAGTAAAAGAGGGACATGGATCTCCTCCACCTTGGCGGCGAGGGAAAGACAAGCGACGGCAGCAAGATGGGTCATCCAAGGCTTTCCATCCTGAACCTGGAAGTGGGACAGGAACCTGTCGAGGTAGTTTACGGCGAGAACAGCGGTGAGGACAGAGAAAGAGTAGTGGGCATTCACTTTCAGAATCCACTCTACGCATTCTCTGCGAGCGTCGGAGAGAAGAGGGTTGGTTTCCAGTAACGTATAGAGTTGGTTTTCACGCTCTTTGGCCAGCAGAGACGTTAGCTCCTCATCATCCCAAAAGAGGTCCTGTTCGAGCAACACCGGAGGTAACTTGGTTTGAGTATCACAGCCAAGATAACACTCGTCTACTTGTTCTAATTCCTGTTGGAAATACTCGGGGCCAGTTTGTTCCTCCCAGTGCTCTTCAGAACAGTACAAGGCATCCAAATGGAACCTGGGGTTGTCTAGTTGATGCTGATGATGAGCCATGTTTGCGAAGCGACGGCAAGTTGGAATCTTTGTTTAGTTCGTCATACGCTGGGGAAAAGAAGGGCTGTGAAATGCCCTGACGGAGACATCTCTAGTTTCTCCGAGTCTCTGCGGGGGCGAGACTGAGAGAGAAGCAAGAGAGACAAAGAAGGGATTGACAAAAGAAGTAAAAGCAAGCGTTATATCGGAGAGGTTTCGCCGCGAGTCGTTTTACTTTATGAAGACCCGAATCATGGGCCACGCATTACAATTACTCGGCACGTGACGATTGCCCCATGCGTGGTAAAATTGGAATGCTTGTGGCGCTTTAAGTTTTCAATCTCCCATACACCTTTACTGCATCTTAATAAATATAATAACATCAACTGTATGGAATTTATCGCAATTTTTATTTTTACTGCCCGCAAGAAGACGGTGAGAATTGGTATGGGAAAAGAACCCAGAAAAGCCGTGACTGAATTGCATATGTGCAATCTCTTTTCTAAGGGGGAAAAAGAAAAGGAAAAATCATAATTAAAGACTCTGAAATTTAAAAAACGCAGATAGAAACTCTTGACAACTTTATTATAGCTTTTGACAATAACCATAAGTCATGAAGTTGTTAAAACCCATAATGAAGTTGTCAATGGTCTCTATCAGTGTTTTTCAAATTTTAGAGTTTTTTTTAATGATTTCTCCAAAAAGAAAAAGAAGGGGATAAATTTTGATTGAAATATTCATCTTTTCTTTTCTTTTCTCTGGCGTTTTGGCGATGGGTATATTGACTATTGAGCACTGAGTCTGTTTGGAACAGAGGATGGGTGATTAGAAGAGGCATTAATTAATGAGAGATGAAAGAAAAGAGAGGGGCAGGGCGGGAGTGGAAAAAAAATGGAACGGAGTGCCCCACGCTTAAAAATAGCCACTCTGTTCTGATCTGGTGCAGCCATGATTCTCAGAAAGCCAAGGTCCCAGCTTTTCCAGTAAAATCCCTATTCCGCTCCACCCCACCACCATCTCTTTTTCTCCACATTTTTTATTTGACCCTATAAAACAAATATTTCTCCTCTCTCAATTCCCTCCTTTTTCTATCATTTCGCCATGCAAATTACACGCTTCAAATTGTCGCTTCCATTATTAAAATAAGACTAATAAGTCAAGGGCGTCGATCCTGAGCTTGCAACTTCCATGATCATTTTTTTTAATTCTCAACTAGGAATCCTCCTCGTGCTGCATCTTCTCGGGGCTGCCTCAAGTTTAAATTTTTAGACCCACTGCCTTCCATATAATAATCGGACACCTCGCCTGGTATTAACTTGGCTCATGTGTCCACGACCCCTGCCAAAATTAGAACTGGATCTTGCACTAAACTACATTATCTTTACTTGACTGGAAGACATATTCTATCCCCCCCCATGCTCCCCTCATCTCACCCACCTTCTTCTTCTATATTCATATACGCAAATCTCGAATGCCAGTTTGCTTTATATGACATGTATATTATGTGCTCGAGGACTAATAAACTGAAACGGTGCGGTCGAGAAATATCGGATTTCCTGAGCTCTGAATAATAATGGTCCTTCTGTTTTCCTTTTTTTTTTTTTGCTTTTTTTTTGGGGGGGGATGAACTGAAAGAATATGACTCCCTCGCTGAGAACTTACGGGGCATTCCGATCCCCTGTTTGTCATGGAACCAGCTACATGGATGATAAATAACATGCCCTATCGTTACGAATCACTGTCAAATTGCCAAAGACCCATACCAATATTAGATCAGTACAATAGTCCAGGCTCATGGGCATTTAGATGGATCGTAGGGCAGGGCATTTGCATTCATACAGAAATTGAATTCTTGGTTCTGTACGTGTTGCTCACTTAAAGGGTTGTCATTGTTGGCTGTATTTAGCGGGAGACAATTTTAAACAAGCGGCCCTTATTGCAGGTCAACTTTTTCATATATTCTGAGAACAAAAAGCGGAAGGCTATGAAGTCTAGCATATTAAAGAAGAGGCGGGGTTTTACAACTTTAGGTCAGCGAGCGATAATGAAGCAGTAGGATTGAAAGTCGAAAGGGCGTGGTGGGTATAATGGCTCTATGCGATGGGAAGGGAAAACTACTAGAGGGCGATACAATTTTGGAAGCAACAGTTTCCCATGTAATTTACTGAAGCCATGTAAAACAAACGCCAACTCAATTCTTCTCTTTCTGGGTACGATAAAGAGTGGTCTCTGTGGAGGCCATATTATAAAATAATGGTGGTAACAGAGCAGCAGACCGTAGAAGCAGACGTAGAGAGAGAGAGAGAGAGGGAGAGAAGGAAAAAGAGAGGTTTTAATGGGTTTGCTTTGGGGTTACTCAAAACGTTAGGCTGCGGGGGGCAATGGCATGCAAAGGAAAGGAAATGGGCATAATACTGTACGCAGAGAGCACCGTACGTGTAGAGTAGGAAACTGAAACTCAGACCAACGCGTGTAGGCTTCCCTTTCTGTCATGATCTGCTGCTTTTCTTCCTGCCTTCCTTTATTTTTTTCCTTTTTCGTTTTTAGGGTCATATCAATTTATTTTTAATAAACAGTCATTTGGATTAAGAAATTAATAATAATTTAATTTTAAAATGTAAATACATATATTTTTTTAATAAAGTATTTTTCTTCTTTCACCTTTTCATGAGCTTGTTAATTGTTTTCCCAGTGTTTTGATCACATTACGGTAGAATTTATATGTTACTGAAGACACAAAAATTATATATCATTATTTGTTTGCACAAAAATGAGAAGTGCTGTTGATAATTTATGAGCAGTGATGTATTATATATTTAGTATCTCTGATCTTAATTATAAGACTGATTATAAATAAAATTTTATAATTAGAATTAAAAGTAGTACTGTACTTAATGTGCATGTAATTAGGAAAGCTCCATATGAATTGGAAGAACTAGCTCTGCTTATCCCACAACTGTGATGATACAAATATTGAAGATAATAATTAGCAGCTCATAGAAATAAATAATAAGTTTGTGCAGTCTAAAATATGGGTCTAATTATGAAAGAACAGTGGAGGAAACTCTGGTGACCTCGCCTCATGCAAAAACCAAAACCTCACAAAATGGACGGAAGTACATTGCGAAAAAGCTGTGGTGAATGGGGGTGGTTGGAGGTGGCAGTGGGTGGTTTCCAGCCCATTTTTCAACATTCTCATTTTTTTCCATTTTTAATCACAAGCCACTTTCTAATTTGTGTTTCGTTCGCGAGTGGGGGAATAAATTGTTCTCTCATGTCACCAAATAAATATATATGTTTTTATTCTTTTGTTGTCACTCTTAATTTTAAGCTATGAAATTTATTTTTTAGTTGTTTTTCATTTATTCCGTTTCATGTACGGTTACTAGTTAGCATGGTATCTTAACGATGAAAAATAGAAGTGCGAATTACGATAATCCAAGTTCACAACTTTTTACTATTTTTAAATCACCGTGCTCATCCTTCCAAGCTGCTGTTCTGGCACAGCGACTTGGCATCTCAGTCTTTTCGTGACAAGACTTTTGAGTTTTCACACTAATTTTGTTGTTGTTTTTATTATTTACAGATAAAATACCAAAATTTTGATAATTTGTGATCATTGAAAAAAATATAAACATTTCATGTAACATATAGCTGCCCGGATGGTTTTCAGCAATTTTCACTGTAGTTTTTATTATGACACCAAATGTCCTTGTATGAATGTTATAAAGTAATCAACATCATCAATAGATGAAAAATTACATCAAATTCGAAAGTCGAAACAATCTAGAACACTATGAAGCTCCAATTAACATAACTCAATTTTTTTTAATTTTATGGATTATATTGTGGCCGTCTGATTTAAGCTAGATATTGAGAGCTGATCATGCTTTACTATGAGACGTGTATAAAAGAAGAAATTTAAGTATTTAATGTTACATATTCAGCATAATTTTTTTTGCTTATACTGAAAAATCGATTTTGAATTTAAGGTACTCTCTAAAGTCTATTGTTATATTGAGAAGGTGTAAACTCTGAGATGTCTGCAAAACTCCCACTAGAAGAGATGAAAGTCAGAGAAGCCCACACCCTGAAAGACGAGAAGAAAGCGGATGATTTCCCAGCACTCCCACTGCAATTCTGCAAACCAAACAAGAAAGAGAAGCCCTTTCTTGGGACTCATAAACCCTTCGCCATAGATACTGCTCAGTGTTCACCCACCAATTCAACAGCAGACTGACATTTTCCCACCGTGGTCGTGCAAGGCCAGGTGAGGGAAAAGAAAGAGACGTGATCATGGGATGTGGGTGAGGGCCCCCAAGGATCTTGTTCCAGCTGGGTCGGGGGCCCACAATCCATAGTCAGAGCTGAATGATCATGTTTTTGCCGCATTCATAGAATTACATCCCAGTAAATAATTGCTGTGGTGGGATGGGAAGTTGTAACTACTACAGCAGCAGCAGGAGGGAGCCCCAATGTGTAATCATCACTCGCCGGGTTGACCATTGATTTTACATCGCATATAGCAAGCTTGCTTTGTAACATATTTAATACAATAATCACCATCATCATGGTTATGACTTTGTAATTTTGCTTAAACAGCATATCTGAGTGAAGCTTTTGGAGAAATGAAATTTGGACATGACCATCCAAGAAAGCAATAGTTTACGTGCACTGGCAATTGGGTAGCAAATAGAGTTTGCATGGGAATCAAATCTTTGGACTATCATTGAGAGGGTTAGCATGACACGACGTCCCAACTTCATAACTAATATTCCCTGCTTTGCTTGCTACATCATCATTTCGCCATAGACCCAACATAAATACATGGCTCAAGAGCCAAGCAATGAACACTTCCATTTTCATTTAAAGTGTTTTCAAATGCAAATGACAGGACATTGGACGGTCGTTTCCTATTCTCGTCTGACCCTCCTTCTAATAAGTAGCACAGTCCCATCTCTGCAATGGAAGATGCCAACCAGGAATAACGTCCAGTACACAAGGACGTCGACTGCTTTTACCTCATTTAACATTCAAAACTTAATGCAAATCTGTTTCCTTACTTAAAAAGACGAGGATCCTTCTAACCAAAAACCAAAAAAGGAATATTGAGCTGGTCATCCTCATATGGTACTGTGCATTATTGACGTCCTTGTGGTCTGGTTGAGGCTAATTTATATGCATGAGAATGGATCACTATTAAAGAGCAAAAGGGATTTCGAGTTGGGGAGTGGCTGGGCTGAGCAGGGAAATGAATCCGTATTTCCGTAATACCAATAATCCTGGCAGACACTAATAAAAGTCAGTTCAATTAGTAAGGAGTCAGTTCGTAACCCACAAGATTAGAAGTTCAAATTATGTTGCTGATGCGAGGACCTTTTTGGATAGATAATCCATAAGTATCCTTATAACTGCTTTCTAAGTTTGGAGACATTCCTAACCTTGATAATCTTTTAAAACCAAACTCACTTAAACTGTCTACAGGGAAAAAAAATGGCAGCATTCTGCATTCGTATGACCCTTTTCCCTCGAAGAAAGAAGCACTGATACATGCATATCAATGAGAAGCCAAATGCGAATTACATTAATGCTACTTCTAATATTTAATATAAGAGCTAGTTTGATTTTTAATTTAATCTTAAATATAAAATCCCAATATCTTATACATGTCATATTTATCCTTCAAAGTAGTCCTTGGATTAACTGCATATGTTAAAAATTTCACCAAATGACAGTTTTAACTAATATACATTATTAGTAAGAATATTATAAGAAAGATAACATCTATTTATTATAACAACCAACTTAACAAAATTTTTTAATCTACCTAAATTAGCAAATCATCTCTCATATTAAGGATAAAAGGTAGCATAATTCTTTAAAAAACTTATGGGATATCATTAGGTTTTAATTAAATTAAATTAAATTAACTCTTTGATAATTGCGATTTCATTCCTGTGATGACAATACAAATCATAATTGAAGTCCGAGCAAGAGACTATGATCCCTTTCTTATGCTCTATTTGTTTTCCCCCCTCTACGATTGTTACATAGCAATTTTTTTTTTCGGAGAAGAAATAGTAAAAACCCCGCGCAATGCATGGATTGTTTTCCCCATAATGCTTTGCATTTTAATCTCTTCCTGATGTTTGGGAATTCGCAGAGAATGAATTATATATTGTGTCAAAACCAATATTTAAGATACACTCATCCAAACACCCTCTTAATATAACACAAAGTTAGAAGTTAGAAAATTTTCCTGACATGGCAAGAGTTTAAGGGCTTGTTTGTCTCTACCCTTTTCTTGTTATCACAGCAATTTTAGAAAACTGTTTTTTTACGAGATTTGAGAATAAAAAATGTTTGTATAATTATTTTAAAAAATCACACTTGAAACTAAAAAATGAAAAAAAAAATCACATTTGACATGAGGTGGCCGTCATCACTGGTTGTAACACGTGGCGGGTAGTGAGTAAGAAGAGAGTAAGATATCTCTAATTTTTCAAAACAAAAACAGGAAAACATCTAAAAATTGTTTTGATTTTTTAGTTTCTAAAGACATATTACTATTTTTTTGTGTTTTAAAATAATCAACTAAAAATAAATTATCAAAAAAAATTTTAAAAAAGAAACCAAAATAAATTATCAAACAATTTTTTTTAAAAAAATTAAAATAAAAAACCAAACAAACCCTAAACCCTGAGTTTCCTCCTCCAAGTTTCCGCCCCAGCCCCTTTGTGCTTTGGTAACACGCATACAACTATAAACACAAACACAGCGCACAACGTGGGTGAGAAAATTACAGTGCTACCACTGGCGGCTTGATAGAGCGGTATGTGTGCTTGTATAGGGGTGTGTTGCAGGTTTGATCCCGCTCTCTTACAACTCAAAAAAAAAAAAAAAATTACAATGCTAAAAGAAATTAGTTTCAGTGCTCACTAAAACACTTTAAGCTTATCATATCTGAATCAGCTAGCTCTGATTTGGATGATTTAGATTTAGTTTTTTTAATTTTTATTTTTTAAATAATTATTTTAATCAGTATAGAATATAAAATAAAGATAATCTCTTAACTATTTTTTTAAAATAATTTTTTGTCTAAAAATAAAAAAAATAAATTTGAACTATCCAAATCAAATCAGAATGATTCAGATATAATGAATTTGAAATGTTTATTATTTTGATAAATACTGAAACTGGTTCTATACACGCGAAAGGGTGTGATATGATCTTATTTTGGGAGGAGTAATATTTATCATTTAGACAATAGAAAAATTACCATAGACCCCAAAGAAAATTAAATATAAAAATTTGACTTGAAAATATAAATTGTTAAATTTATGAAAATTTGATTAGTAATTGTAAAATATTTTTAGGCCTATTTATATTTAATTTTCTTATCAAAAGCTTGCGAGTAATTTTTTCGAGATTAATCTAAATGGGGCCATGAGGGGATATTCTACAGAACCAATAAAGAGGTGATATGGTTCATGTTTAAAAACGCCACAGCTCAACACTAGTGGATGATATTATTGCTACTAACGGTTTGACTAAATAACAAAAACAATAACAGGAAGAAACATGATTCTGTCTCCAGATTTGGCAACACGGCTTCAGCCTAGCATCTAAAAGGAGGGCGAACACAGTTCCTCGCCGTTTTGACCTGCGCAGAGACCCCACAGAACGAAACATCAACCTAGTTGGGCAAACTGCTTCCAGCGAATAGCTCCAAACTTTTGACTCTCAGTGTCCGAACTTAACTGCTACTCTCGCACATCCCGTGACCAAATATTACTCTCCATAACTCAAATTGCAGCCCACAATGAGTCCACGCCACAATCTTCGACTTCCCACTCATTTTGCGGGATTCCCAAGGTTCCTGCTATGCCTTTCCTGCAGAAGTTTGTTCCGCTAACAGCAACCTTGTGATGCTTAGCAAATGACTCCATATTCTGTTGGAAATCACCCTCCAAAGGTCTAGGTGGTCTAGTTTTCAACCCTCAGAAGACCGTGCATATTAAAGAAGAAAAACTATACAATGATGAGGGCGGTCTTTCCCTTCATTCAAAGCTTCATTCCTATTACCTATAGGTTACCTAACCACCAATTCCTGCAACGCTAACACAACATTTCGCAAGACACAAGTCAACAAAGTGAAGCTCAACTTCAATCATTTTCTATGTCACTTAACGAAAAAGCTTGATATGCTGGTCAATGGTTATCAACCACCATTGACAAATCGATAAAACTAGGTAGAGAGCATTGAACAATGGGGGCCAAAAAATTAAACGAGGCAGCAGTCACGATATTGTTAGACTGAGAAGCCAAAATCAGTAATCAAGTTCCAAAATATACATATCAACGACCCCCTCGCTTTAAATGTTCTCGGATAAACCTTTCGGCATGAGACGGGTATTTATTTCTAATATACTCACGAAGGCACTTCTGGTACGAGAAGTCGATCCAGCCACCGTCAGTTCTTACAACAAAAAGACATCTTGAGCATCTAAACTGGGGATGACGATCGACCTGCAACACATGAAGTCAAATAATCTGCAAAAATCTAGAGCAGTTTACAAAAAATAATAATTGAAAGATAAAGAAATAGCCAATAATATCCTTAAATTATAGCAATGTATTACAGTGCATGTTTGGAAACCAATTGGTCCACATTTTGACCACAGCAATATGAAAGTAAATTGTCTCAAAAATTTCAGATATCTGTTTTCAACAGGTTTCCAAACATAGCCTCAGGAAGAGCAAGCTCCCGTTTTGCGCATTTTGTTTCCCCTCCAGATGGACCTAGTAACCCAACAAAGTAGTGCAGACAGACCCAAAACCAACAGCAATCCAATCCATAATTGAGTCAGAGTTTTGACAGCCAAACAGGTTGAACTAGAAATTAGCGCTGTGTCATTGAGACGCAAACCATTCTTCTGAAGCTAAGGTCAAATAACGTGATAGTTTTGTACTTTCTATCACAATATAAATTCTTCTAGACAGACAAGACAAATGCAACAAGAAACATCTTATTCTACCAAAAAAGAATAGGAGACAAAGTATTTCTAGATTTTATCGTCATTAGAAACAGAGGCAAGCACTCCGTCGGTCAGCGCCACAGTAGCAGAGGATATCCTCAGCTTTAACATGCTATGGCTCAAAACAGCATATAAATATATCATTTTGGAATGAACTAGAACAGATGTGGCACAAGTACCATTCTAGGATGAATGGATGGGGAAGAAACACACAAACTTGTGGTGTTAAATATAATTTACAATTGAATAATTTGTTCTGGGAGAAAAGCAATTCAAAAATTTAAATTCATATGAAAGATAGCAGTGCTGATCCTGCGGTTATTCCTTTACAAGCAGTTCACACATCATGGTATGTCACTTTCTATGGGCAACAATCGCAACTTAGAAGTTGCAAAGACAAAACTTAATGAAGAAAACGATAGCATTACACTACCATGACAACAGGAAATTGCATCGCCGTCATGACATGTAGATGTGCAAATAGAATTGTACGTATCATACCATAATTGACTCAAGACCGCATCCAATCTTGTCTTCAGAACGTGGATGGTAAGCAAGAAGCTTCTCTACCACAACTTTCTCATCCTCAGCTGTCAATTGCTCTCCATCCATGTACCTAGTGTAGAAAATCAAAGACGTTAAGAAGATAATTTTTTAAGGTTAAAAAAACTGTGGAAGGCATACTGGTCAATATTCCAAAAATGCAGCACGTATAAATGTGAGCAACTGATTGAGATATAGAATTTATCACAGCAAATTTGTACATTGTGCAAGGAAACTCGCAGGCAAGCAAGCACTGCTTTCAGCAGTTATTTTACAGCATTTGATGCTTTAACAGCAACGCTATGCTTGTCTATCTACTTATTTATCAGATCTTTTGCTGATACTCGCAGAGCCATGATTTTGCTCATCACGTCTTCAAATATGCTTCAGTTCAGTTTACTCACACAATAAGGTGCACAGTAATTTTATCACTGCATATGTTAAATCTCCATCATTCAACCAAGAATTCTCAGAGGAAAATGATACTCTAATGTTTAGTTTCCTGCCAAGGAGCCAATATAGTCTCATAAGGAATTTCCAAGAAGAGAATATGATATTTTGGATTTTGCGCCAGTAGAATTATGAGGTTTTCAAAAAAAGAAAAATCAAAAAGTGGAGACAAGGGGAGAAACAATAGAGGGCAACCAATAATGCACTGGTTTATTACTTCACTGCAACAACATGTATGAAAAGATGTTGATAACTGCTTTTGTATCATGCTCATGTGATCAGAATAGTAATTACTTTCCGTTGAATTGCAGATTAATGCATGTATCCTGTTATGTAAAAAAATATAAAAGACCGTTAGTTAGTTAGTTATAGCTGTTAGTATTTTGTTTCTGTTATGATTATTTGTTATTTGTTTCCTAAGACTAGCTGTTAGAAGAGCAGGGAAATACAATATAAATCGAAGTCCTTACAACATTTGTACCTGTTGATTGATCAACAGTGAAGTGTTATTCAGTTTCTCTTATCCTCTTTGACTCGCTCTCTTTCTCTTGTCTCTCCTCTATCTTTCCTCTTCTTTCTCAAATTCCATAACATATTCATAATCCTAGAACTAAGGAGTGTCACATAGTGTAAATAGAGATATACTTAAAAGAAAAATTCACCTAACAACAGCGAGAATCGGTTTTGTTTTCTTCTGCTCAGCTTTTGAACGATGGAGTGACTGAAATTATAACTCTATGCTGATCGCTGTGTATGTAAGTAAATCGCAACAAGTATGCAGCAAAGTTTGAACTGATAAAGAGAGGCCTGGGTGTGGAACTTAAAAGGTTTGAAAGCAGCATCAAGTCCAAGGCAGATCCTAGATTCTAGTAGCCGCTGAAGTTCCAAGAAGAATAATTCCTTGCACTGTAATCAAACAACTTTAACTCATAATAATCCAATGATCACAAAGACTTCCTTTTGTTACCTGAATTATATCTCAAAAGTTTTATCAATTTGTATCTTAACTGAGAAGACTATGTTTTTCTTTTCATACATTCCACGTAGTGTTTTTGTGCAAACAACAACTAGCCTGCAGCCAAGACATCATTCAAGATATCATACAGATAATGCATTCCTCTAAAAGTTAGTCATACGCTAACTCTGTACTTCATAATCCGCTGGTTCAATCTGGTTCTTCGAGTAAATTAGTGATGCAAGAGATATGCCTATTGGTCAGAAGGAAGATGTGACGCATAAAATCCCACTGCATTGGTACAAAAAACAGTCTTTAAAATCTTTTTTAACGTCTGCTGTTATTGTAGGAAATCATTGTCATCTCACCACTTGCTTGGAAACGAGCGTCTGTATTGTTATGGGTATTCCAAGCAGCCACCTAACAGAAACTTTGTCCTCTACTAGCTAGCAGACTCGAGTCAGAGGAGCATTATGTTCAAGCACAGAAACAGCGGTTATCAAGGAAACTGAATGACACTTGAGTTTAGGCGAGAGAACCCAAGACCCAGACTTGCAAGCAAGGATAAGAAACTTCAACTATCTCGACGAAGAAGTTGAAGTACTTAGTCTGTTAGTCCCTATCTTTTCATCCATTACAAAGATGAAGACATAAGATGACCTCCATCATATGCATTGTCGTTCGGTAATAGATTATAGCCCGTTTTGTTTACATATATGAGTATTCAACGATGTGCTGAGGATTCTTAGCGACAATAGAACGAACAGATAGAGCACAAGAAGAAGTAAAGAATTTAAGATAAGGAATTTTTCTTTTGTCTTCTTCTTCTTTTTCTTTTTTTCTTTTTTTGTTTTTTTGCGGAGGAGGTTGCTGACCTTCGCGAGTGGAGGATATCCTTTGTTAGCCTAACAATTGGTTCAATGTCCTTGAGGATCTCTTTTTCTTTATCCTTCCATTTCCGATAATCGGGGTCGTCCGACCTAGGTTGAGTTGCAAGGTCCTTAGCTCTCAGCAGCTTGGAGATTTGAGCAGCATAGCTAGCTTTCTCATCTGCTCGTCCAGGCTCCCAGTTGGTGGGGGCACAGCACAATATGCGGTGAGGCGTCTCAGTCACAGCGATTCCCGCTACGAAACGCCGGTAGCTGTGGAGCCGAGAGTAAGGAAATAGAGCGTCCCGAAGAAGCAGAGGACCAGCCATTTGAGGTCGAGCATAACAGGCGAAGGTGATAGAGAAATTCCGAGCATGATGTCGTATGAAACTCCATCCAATAAAATCAGTCCAGCTCAGGTAAAATAGATTCTCTTTATTGTTTAATGTTTTAAGCTGAAGTGGACTAATCTTATTGGACAGAGTACTTCTCCGAAGCTTTTTTTTTTTGGGTAAGAGAGAAGGCTTAAAGCCAAGAAACCAATTGCATTACCGCAATCTACTTCCCACTTTATCAGCATAGATAAGATCCTCCAGATGCTGTGGGCAGGTGTCGAAAAGATGCGACTCAGAGATTCTGTTTTTGCCGGTGCATCAGCCAAAGCATTGCAACTCCTGGGAACAAATTGAAGCTTTACCTCCCAATGACAACGAAGCATGCCTTTGATCCTTAGAAAAACCAAGCTACATTTGGCTTTTTCATGAGTACGAATCAACCAATTGCTTTGCATCAGATTCTACAATAACATTCCTAAAGCCGAAGTCCCAAGCCGAACATAATCCCTTAAATAAAGCCCATTCCTCGGCCTCCATAGCATTACATAGGCCGATTTCATGACAAAAGCCAGCGATCCAGTTTCCATTGCAAGCTCTCATGGTTCCTCCACAACCAGCTTTTCCAGTTAGAGTAACATAGCACCAACCAACGGGGGTTGGTCCGAGTGGTAAGCGGCTCAGTTCCGCTTAAGTGAGGTCTCGAGTTCGATTCCTCATGGATGCAGAAAACCCCCGCTAGGAGACTCACCCACCATACCCAGGTGCGCAACGCGGGTCAGATCCAGACGTTGTCAGGGCAAAGCTCTGGTGAACCGGATGAGAAACCCCCAAAAAAAAAAAACATAGCACCATCTACGTTCAGTTTCACCCAATTAATGGGAGGCGGTTGCCATTTCAAAGCAGCAGAACAATTTTCACTATCAAGATTTTTCTCGTCTATAGGTTCTAGGACAAAATTCTGCCAAGATCGACAACTAATACCAACAGGACAAATTGGTTTCACAAAAATAGAGTCAAACACAAACTTATTCCTCCATAACTAGAGTTTTCAAATGGAGACTCCCCAGGCAAATTTCCAATCATCATTGAAGTCCTTGGCTATATTGTCTTTCAGATTCATAGTCATCCAATCCAGTAAAGTTGCAGAAAAGAACTGGGCAACATACTTGGATTTTATGAGACCAAGCCGAAAACTACTTGCATAAGAGCATTCTCGTAAGATGTGTAATATTGATTCCAATTCAGAGTTGCAATATCCACAAATGGCAGACGTTTGAAACCATTCATTAGTAGGGAGTCTATTAAGCGCAACTCTCCACATAAAAACTCTGATTCTTTCAGCACCTCCCCATTTCCAAATAGTTTTAAAAATTGGATTATGCCGCAGTTTTTTTTTTTTTTTGCTACAGAAGAGGGCTAATGCCAAAATTAAAAATCACCAGGGTTACATCCTATACAATCTTCCTCTATCAACTCTTTGAGACTATTCGGGCAAACATCAAAGAGTTGAGATTTTGAGATTCCCAACTTTGCCAGATGATCTGCAGCACGGTTTCTCCTCCTTGAGATATATTCTAACTTGACATTCCAGTTGAGCGACAACATGTTTTGAATCTGTACGAACATAAGGCTGCAGCTATGGTTCGGAGTTTGTCCTGTGAGGTAATCAATCAGGTTCTTTGCATCCGATTCCACAATTACTTGCTTCAGTCCAAATTCCCAAGCTAGCTTCAATCCTCTAAAAATTGCCCATTCCTCAGCTTCCTGCGCTCTACACATTCCAATCTGCTGAGTGAAGCCAACAATCCAATGGCCCCTAAAATCACGCAGCAATCCACCACAGCCAGCTTTGCTGGAATTCCCAGCCACAGCCCCATCTACATTCAGCTTGAACCAGTTAATAGGAGGCGGCATCCAAGAATATGAAGTTTCCGCAACAGAATTACACCATGATCTGTGCGTTTCATGAGGCTCACAAGTCTGAACAAATAACTTCCAGCAATTTTTCAAATACGCGGAAGGATCAGGGGGTTTAACAAAGCTTTCATCAAAAACATCATTATTTCTCCAAATCCATAGTTTCCACACAGCCACACCCCAGAAAAGACTCCAACTGTCATTATCATTCTTCCCCATATTTTGTTTAAGGTTGGAAGATATCCAATCCTTCAACTTTAAGGAAAAGAATGACTGCACACATCTTTGACTGATGTTCTTCAGCCACATGCTCTTAGCATAAGCACAATCACGCAGAATATGCAGAATGTCTTCGACTCCTTCCTGACAATACTTACAGTTGGGCGAACTGGAAGACCAGGTGCTTCTCCACACATTTGTTGGCAGCTTTTCATTATAGATTCTCCATAGAAAGGTTCTAATCCTTTCAGCTCCCTTCCATTGCCAAATCCATTTGAAGACCGGGTCATATCTTTCTGGAGGATTCCTTTCAATTAATTGATATGCACTCTTAATGGTAAAAACACCATTATCCGTGGCTCTCCAGGTCATGACATCGTTCCCAGCATATTCTAGGGGCGGCATGCAGCTATAGAGACGCTGCAATATATTGTGATCTACAACAGAGCTTAAGCGATGAAAGTCCCAGGTCCCATTTATGGACCAATCAGCTACCACACTTTCATTCTCCTCCTGTGTTAGTGGCCTTACACAGGAATCTTTAATCTTCTTACCATCAGGTAGCCATACATCATTGAAGAAATTAACAGATCGCCCATTTCTGATTTTCCAGGTAGTACCCAAATCAACGATTTCTTTTTGGCGGCAAACGAATTTCCACAAAGCTGAATCACCAGGGTATTCTTTTAACAGATTCTCCTCATCTCTCATCATATACTTGTTGCTTAGGATGTCAGCCCAGAAGTCAGTTTCTCCTACTACTAGTTTCCAAGCAAGTTTGGCTCCACAGGCTTTGTTGAAAGAGGCCAATTTTTTAAAACCCAAACCTCCATATGATTTAGGGAGAGTCAGCTGCTGCCAACTTATAGGGTGGTATCCATGAGTAGAATTACTATGCCCCCAAATGAAATTTCTCTGTAATCTCTCCACCTCGGTGCAGATTTTCTTAGGAATCTGAGCCACTTGCATTGGGTAGATAGGAATGGAGCTCAACACTGATTTAGAGAGGGTGACTCTACCAGCCATGGATAAGCTATCTGTCTTCCAAGCTGCCAGTTTTGATCTAACACGGTCCACTATGTACTGAAAAGTTTCTTGTGGTCTCCTTTTCCTACTAAGTGGGAATCCCAGATACTTGCCAATTTCAGAAGAAATCTTCATCTCAGTACAGTTTCTGATTTTTTCTTTGAAGGAGTTTGAAACTCCTGGAGAGAAGAACATAGAAGACTTACACCTACTAACCAGTTCACCTGAAGCTTTACAAAAAATGTCAAGGCAATTCATCATGCATCTAACTTGTTTTTCCGTTGCTACTCCAAATAAAAGCAGATCATCCGCAAACATAAGATGTGAAATGGCAGGTCCCTGTTTGGAGACTTTAATTGGCTTCCATTTACCCATCTCAACCGCATCATTAATAATATGGGACAAGCGATCCATGCACAAGACAAATAGAAGAGGAGATATTGGATCTCCTTGCCTGAGTCCACGCTTTGGGATAAAATACTCGGTCTCACCTCCATTCCATAGAATATTGTACGAGACTGAGGAAACACAATCCATAATAAGATTAACAAAGGCGTTTTCCATTCCCACATCCAACAGAACTTGTTTTAAGAAGCCCCAACTCAGTCGATTATAGGCTTTTTCGAGGTCTATCTTCATGGCTAGGAGTCCAGTCTTACTCTTGTTCTTTTTCATGGTGTGTAAAACTTCTTGCCCAATTATTATGTTGTCTTGTATATGCCTCCCTCTAATAAAACTTGCCTGATAAGGGGAGATAATGTCATTCATCACTGATCTAAGTCTCTGAGTAATAACTTTAGTTATGCACTTGTAATGAACTGTGCACAAAGAAATCGGTCTGAAATGAGTCACCAAAGTGGGATTTTCCCTCTTTGGAATTAGAGCAATTAAGGTCTTGTTTGCTTCAGAGAGAGAAATGCTGCCCTTAAAAGCATCTTTGACAAAATTACAAAGCATAGGGCCAACAATTTGCCAATTCGCTTGGAAAAAGATAGGGGAGAAACCATCATGACCTGGTGCCTTATAAGCTCCCATAGAGAAAAGTGCTTCTTTAATTTCCTCGTTCGAAGGGGGAGAGTTCAAGTTCTTGAGAATAACAGTGTCCATAGTGGGAAATTTTGAAACAGTAGTTAGGTGATAATCCTCCACATTATCCTCCGTAAAAATTCTTTTAAAAAAATCAGTCACCAGGACTTTCAGATCATGGTCATCATCCACCCAATCACCCCTATCATTTTTTAGAGCTTTAACTCTATTTCTTCTTCTCCTTATGCTAGTTTTGAGGTGATAGTATCTAGTATTCCTATCTCCTTCATAAATCCATTTGGTTCGAGCTTTTTGGAACCACTTAAGCTCTTCAAGTTCTAGGACCTCTTCTAGCTCTTTTTGCAACCGGAGCTCCAAATTACAGAGATACTTGGAAGACGGATAAGCATTAGACTTTTGGATTCCATTAAGTCTAGCCAGAAGCTCTCTTTTCTTTTTTTCAACGAACCCAAAAACTTCCTTATTCCATATTAGCAGAGCATTTCTAAAACTATATAAAGAGCCATCAATATTGTTCCCCGAAGTCCAAGAATCTTTAATGAATTCTTTAAAAGAATCATGTTGGAGCCACATAGCTTCAAACTTAAAGGGCTTCTCTCCCCTTCTTGTAGCAATTGGTTCATTAAGGAGCAGAACGATAGGATTATGATCTGAAAAGGTAGTTCTGGGAAGTACCTTAATAAAAGCCTCTGAGAACTGAGTCAGAAACAGGTTATTAGCAAGTCCCCGATCCAACCTTTCGAAGAGTCGTTTGTACCCAATCAGCTGAGGTCCCTTCCAAGTGAAACGAGGTCCAACCGAACCCATATCAGATAACCGACATTC